ACACACGCACACACACGCACACACACGCACACACACGCACACACACGCACACACAAGCACACACACGCACACACACGCACACACACGCACACACACGCACACACACGCACACACACGCACACACACGCACACACACGCACACACACGCACACACACACACACACACACTGCGGTCTCCCTCCACAGGGAGCCACTCAAGACGTACGCGCCCAACCACGAGCATGAATGCGGCCTCCCCGGTCCGCGAGACCAGCCTTGTGATATGCACGCTCGCGCAACGCGTACCTTCGGGACCCACTCTTTCGCGCCCGACTCTGACTCCCATCCCCGCCCCCCCCCGCCCCTCGGGCCGGGCGACAGGGGGGGGGGATTAGCAAAGGGGCGATTTGAGCATCAGCTCACGTAGCTGATTTTCCCGGCGGCGGGCGTCGAGGGGCTGCAGCAAGTTTCGTAACCCCCCCTTCCCCTATCCCCTCCTTTCGTCCGGCCCGAGCCCCCCCCCCCCCCCTCGCGCTCCCCCGCAAACGTCGCACTGCCGTCAGCCCCGCCGGGGGCGGCGTGCGTGGATGCCCGCCCCGCAGGGGCCGCCGCAGGCCCCCTCCCTGAGCCGCAGCCTCCTCCGATTCTCGCAGGGCGGCGCCCGCAGAGGCCTCCCAGATGGGGTCCGAGTGCCCGTCGGTCGGAAGAAGCAGGTAGAAGGATGGCGCAAGAAGGCGCTGAGAGTAGACGGGGCTTTCGCCCGCCCCCCGAGGACCAGGGGGGAGGGAACAGCACTCGGCTCTTGAGGTAGGAAGGCGCCTGCAGTAGATTGGGACTTGGACATCCGAACATATCTACTTTCAGCGACTGGCGTGTAGATGGGGTCGGAGGATCGCGCCGCATCGCCGATGGGCACACACGTCTCAATACCACCATCGAGTGCTCTTGCAGCCTCTCTTCGTCTCGCGCACGCCGTTATCGCATCCTTGCGTGCAGCGTTTCCGCATTCTCGCCCCGCCCACCGGCCGTGGGGTCGCGAACATCGTGCTGCGAAGCAGACACTCGCGGGATGCGACTTCTCGTGTCCCACACCTTCCGAAATTGCAACAAAAACATCGGTGCCGTGAGAGATAGTTTCGACATTGACGGAAGCAACAACTTGGCCCGAGCCTCGGATTTGTTGTATCTTGAGGCTCTCTGTGGGGGGGTTGGGATGGCGGGAAGGCCGTATTGAAATGGCTGCGCTCAGTTGTCTCCCGCTGCCCTATCTTACTGTATTGACAACTCTTTCCCTCGAGCGAGACCTTTCCCTACCCCTCGCTGCAATGCCATCCGGATGCAAAGGCGCTTCCGCATGTGTCTCGCCGCGAACAGACTTGATCAACCAGACCATGAACAATACCTATGTGATAGAAGATGCTTGGCAATCGCTCTACTTGAACAAGATCAGCGCGCGCGTGCAAGGAATGTAAGGAAGCCTTAGCACTCACAACTTTACCTACATGATGACTGACAACCCCCCACTGGTATCGAAGTCCTCGATGTGCTCGGGACTGCAAGCGCGCAAGGCTCGAAACGCTTCCGCGACCTCCTCCAATCCGCAGCACAAGGCGGCCGGGTCCTCGAAGACAACCTCGGGAACATGGTGGGAGGTTGTAGTGTTTGTACGTGTCCATGCGAGAGTGTGGATGACTTGGAGGTAGTGGAAGGCTTGGAGCCATGACACACCACCTCTGTTGCATGCATTGCTGAACCTACGGCGCGGCGGTGATGGCCTGATGCTCATTTAGGTCGACTGCAGGCCTCAGATGTTCCCGGGACAATTGTATCGCTTCGCTTGCAAGAGTCCCTGGCTTCGGTCGGTAACGACGACAGGTGGGGAAACTAAGCGAGCAAAGCAAGAGCCGAGACGATTGCAAAGCAAATGTGCGACGTGAGCGCGTGGCAGGTGATGCAACATATTCATTTGCAAGCGTCGCCTCTTCGTGGCATGCCGACCTATCAAGTCCTGCTCCTGAATCCACGGGCCCCGCTTGCCGGGGACGGGGTGAATGCGTGTGAGATGAGTGGCTGTCCACATCCCCCAATTCTTCCTGGGCCAGACCCCCGTAAAGAGAGGGGGGCCAAGGAGGAGACCTACGAGCTCCTCAAGGCTCCTCAAGATCCTCAAACTTGCTCCAAATGGCCCTCATATCTGAAGCTGGGCCAGGATAGTCCGCGGTGGGCTCCGAGCAAGCCCCCGTGAGGCCACGAGGCGCCCAAAGAGACTTCAAGGTGGCTCCGCGGCGGGCTTCCTCGAAGGCAAACATCGTGACAGTACACCCGCCGCAGGCCCTCAGGTGTGCGCTTGTGTCTGGCGGTTGCCTCCCCGCGAGTCGTGCTGAGCGGTCCACTATTCTGCCATCGCTCAGACGTCCATTCGCTGGGCATTTGTCGGTGTCGTGCGTGATGTTGTGTTCTCTTTGGTTGTGTGCGTGCTTTTTTGCGCCTGGCGCTCCCCACCTTTGGGCTCAAGATGGCCTCGCGACGAGCTGCACAAGCCCCCAAGAAGGTCCACGCATACCCTCGAGGATCCCCAGGCGGCCCACGATGCCCCCAGGAACGCTTCAGCATGGCCTTAGTGTGGCTTCAGATGCCCCAAACTGGCCTGCAAGATGGCCTCAAGACGCCTCCAGACTGGCTCAATAACGCTCCACGGTTGCCCCTCGACGCTCCCCCGGCGACTTACTCCCTGCAGCTATAGCCCCGAGACGCCCCTAGGGACGCCAAGAAGCATTCACGCTGCCCCAAAGGGGCCCGACGAACCCCAACGCGGCCCCAGCGCAGATACCAGCAACTCCCGACACGCCTTATGGCATTTAGGTGGTTGGCCAACGCATGCGTCGTCGTCGTCGTCCTCCTCCTCCTCCTCCTCCTCCTCCTGCTCATCCTCCACCATTAGCCGCTTGGCACGGAACCGGCGCGTCCTCAGCTGCTTTGCCCAATCCCCTGTACCTCAGTACTCAGTTCTGAGGAGTCAACGAGGGGCCCAGACCTAAATTTCCGAAATCTCTTAGGGTGCCTCCTCGGCATCGTCGTCGTCCTCCTCCCTCTCAGCCCCACACCCTCGTTTCCCTTGTGGGGGTCAGCGGAATGGCATGGCCTCAATCATATATCCCAGCCACGACTCTGCGCACCTTCTCCTGCTGGCACCAGTGCAAACGAGGAGTGCAATGATCAATCAAAACGACAATCAAGAACACATACTCCAGATCCTTCAATAAGCACCCCCCCGTGCCAACCTGTCCGACGCCCCTTGCCCGCCCCTCGACGCGCCCCAAACCCTCCCCAACCTCCCCACGCCCCCCGAAGGACAGCGGTTTCCTACCCCCTCACACGACCCCACCCCCTCACGCTTATTGAGAGACCTGGAGTAGACGACTGCGGAAACATTGAACCCAAAACTGTCGACGTCCCATTTTGGTTCGCTGCCTTCCTCTGACCCTCCGCCGACCTTCCATTGGCGGACCCGCCGCCGCTATACTTCCGCCGAGGTCGAGATGCACCGAATACGAGGCTTTTTACGCAACGCCCCACATACCTGCACATGACATTACGGACGCAAGCGCAAACGACTCAAGAGGGGACGGAAAACATGCCCACTACTCCCCTCCCCTCCCCCTTGCTACCATCATACTCCCCCTGTTCGTCCATATTATTCGTACTGCTCTTTGTCTCATTCTTAGTATTATCCTTCTTCTTATTCTTCGGATAAATATTATTATACATTCCTGTTATTCTTCTTTAACTAGACCCCGCCTGCAAACCTGAGTTGCAAAACTCCGCTTCCTCCTCCTCCTCCTTTTCCTCTTTCTCCCCTCCTCCCCTCCCTGCTCTCTGTTACGTACCTGCACCTTCCTCCGCTTTATCCTCCTCTTCCATATTCCCCTCCGCTTCTATATGCGCCGGCCCCTTTGCGAGGCCATCACGCTGCGGGGATTAAGCTTGCTGCCCCCTGCTTCAATTCCAATTTTAAGTGTCTGGGGGGGGAAGCCCCAAACGGGCACTTACCACGCTTAATCGCCGGAATTCTTGCGGGGGCGTGGGGCAGTTCAAAATATATGAGATTCGCGCCACCGAGGCAACGATCCCACCCAGATTACACTATATTCGCGTCCTCGAAGCCTCGAAGGGCCACGATCACTCACACATTACGCCGTATTCGCGTCTCCGAGGCCGCGACCCCATGTAAATCATTTGATGTTCGCACCCCCGAGGACACGATCCCTCGTAAATTAAGCCGTTTTCGCGTCCCCGACGCCACGAGCCCTTGCAAATTATGCCACTGCCGCGTCCTCGAAGCCACGACCCCTAGTAAATTACACAATGCTCGCGTCCTCGAGGCCACGACCCTTCGTAAACTACACAGAGTTCGCGTCACCGAAACCACGGTCCTAGCAAATTACGCAACGCTCGCGTCTCCGAGGCCACGATCCCCTTTCAATTGCTTCCTGTTCACGTTCCCGAGGCCATGATCCCTTGCGAACTGCTCCATAGTCGCTTCCCCGAGGCTACGACCCCTGGCAGACGATGTCCCCGAGGCCACGATCCCTTCTAAATGAAACCATGCTCACGTCCCCGAGGCCACGATCCACCGTAAGCTACGCCACGTTCTCGTTCCCTGTCAAGTTACGCCATGCTCCCATCCCCGAAGCCACTGTCTCTGGTAGTAAAATGCTCAGAAAAAAAACCCCAAAGACCGTCCAAGCCGCGCGATTTTGCCCAACGCATCCTCACGCAACCCGAAGTCGTTCCAACCGTGCCTCTAATGCACAGATTTGGGGGCAGCTCGAGAAAACAAGAACACGAATTCAAACATATCGTCTGGAGCTCAATTTGGCATGAAGACTACAAGCCGCCCTCGCACGAGGTTCCGGCATTGCTTGACGACGGCCCGCAAACATCCCAACATAGCTCCTGCATGCCCCATTATGATAGAGAGGGGGCCGGCGTCAGAGGGCGAAGCTCCTACAGATATGCCTCTTCCTACACTTCCGCCATTTCGGTCCCAAGAGGCCCCCAGGAGGACCTAAGAGGCCCCCAGGAGGCTCCCAGGAGGCCCCAAGAGCCCTCAAGCGCCCCCAAGAGGGGCCCAAGAGGCTCCCAAGAAGCCCCCAGGAGGCCCCCAAGAGGCCTTTTTTTTTTCCCTCCCCCAAGCCCCCAGCGGATCCCGCCACGGGACTCGTTCGCCGCAGACGGCGGCATGCCTCAGGCCTGGATGGCCTGGCCCAGCTGGTTGCCCTCCAGCTCGGACGTCATCGCGTTCTCCATGCTCACATAGTTGAACGCCCCCGTCGGCCGCTTCTGGAGCAGCTCCTCAAGCCCCTCGCCGCACAGGCAGGACAGCGCCCTGCTCCAGCGGACCCGCCAGAATCCTGTCCCGCTTTTTCCTCTTCGCATCGTCCTTGGTGGAGCGCCCACGGGGCGCTAGCGGGCCTGGGCATGCAGCCCCCGGACCCACCCGACGCCTTGCCGAGTGGGCACCGCACACCACACACACCACGTACGGACCATGGACTTCGACACGATGCGGCCTGCCCTGCTCCTCAGGCTCAGCACGTTCTTCGTGTCGTTCTCCAGGCCGTGCTGCTGCTGCTGCTGCGGCCGCCGCTGCGATAGCCACGCTGGCCTCCAGCGAACTGCCTGTTCCCGCACTGCTCGAAGCCGTTGCCTGCCAACGTGGTCGTACGCATTCCGCTTGCCACATCTTCAGGCGCATCCTCTTGGACGCCGCACGAAGACCACACCTTATGCACACCTGCCAACCGCCCGTCTCCACGACGTCGCGCTCGGTCAGGGTCAGCATCGGCTTCGGCACTCTTCGCCTCGGCACTCCTTTCTCTTTGGGCGGCACGTCTGGCCACGTACCGCCCATCTTTTGGCACCACCAACCATATGTTCTGCAGCGCCCAGCGCGCTCGCCCTGCGAGGTCCTCCAGCGCCTGGTGCTTGCCGTAGTGCGCGTCCATCTCCGCGCCCGCCTTCGCCAGCAGGTCGACCTCTCTGTTGCCCTTCGCGATCTTCAGGTCCTCACCCTCAAGCTGCTCGATCCTGCTCTTGGACTTGTGGGCCTTCACGTGCTTCACGCAGTGAATATCAAGGTCCATGACCTTCACCTTGTGCCAGATCCTTCGCCACAGGTCTGCGTGTGGTCGCTTCCAGCTCGTGCGCCACCGCTCTCCTTTCTGCAAGCCTTCCACGATGCCCTCGTGGTCTGTGTAGACTCGTCCTGGCGGCAACATCCGCTCCAGCACCTTGAGGAAGGCCCACAACTCGGCCCTCTTAACCCTCCTGTCGATCGGTAACGAGCACGGCAGCGGGCCCCACATCTGCATCTTCGCGGTGCCATTATCGGTGAGGGACATAGCTGCCCAACCCGTCTGCGCCCAGTCGCTGTATCCGAGCTTCGAGCCGTCGCAGACAATGTCGCCTGTGAAGTAGTCTTCCTCACCGTCGACCACTTGCCCGTAGTACTGGTCCTCCTCGATACCCACGAACTTCCAGTCCGCCTCTGGCGACCTCACCAGCCCGCGCGTCCACGGCATGTTGGTGTCCTGCTGCTCCGCCACGTGCTGCCAGTCCGCCTGCGCCTGCAGCCTCTGGCCCCTGAGCGCGTCGCACTTGTGGTACCGATGGTGCTCGGTGCCCACCGCCTCTCCACAAGCCAAGCAAATGTCCGTGGGCACGATGTTGCACCTGCAAAGCTTCTCCATTGTCCACGCGCCTCCGACGAATACCTTCTTCGCCGCATTCCTCGCATGCTTCGGGAACTCACGTGCTCGTAACTGCGCAACCGCCGGCGCCAACAACGGCATTGGGCTCAGGCTCTTGAACTCCTCCGCCTGCGTCCATTCCTCCCCGAGGGTTGTCTGCACGTCCGTGCGCACCATCGCCGCTATGTCCATGGGGCACACCTCCTGCATGTTCAACTCGAAGCCCTCCTTCGAGACGAAAGTGTGCCACGCAGGCCATGTCCACGTAGCCCTCCTTATTGACATGATGACAGCCCCTGCTGGTCCTCGCACTCGGGCCCAAGCGGGCTTCATGCCAACCTCCTGCTGCTGCCGCCGCCATGCCTGCTGCAACATGGTGACTATGTTGTCCCATTGACCTCCTCCATCCTCGTCGTGCGCACCATGCCACGCGGCACGCGCCCACCTCACTATGGGCGCCTCGGTGATCTCGTACGTAGGCTCCTCCTGCGCCACTGCCAGCTGCAAGGTGAGGCTTCGGGCCCCTCGTCCACCTGGTAGAAGTCGCCCTGCCGCTCGCCGTAGCTGTCGAAGCTGATGGTCTGGCATGCCTAAGCACTTGCATCCATGCATAACCGAGCGCTTCAAGCCGCACTTGTACACCAAGCCAACACCCCTGGAAATTTTTCGCCCGCCCTTTAGAGCGAGCAGCCTACGACTCCTGACCTTCATGGTAGCGTGTCTCTTGCCGCTCTTGGTCTTCACCGCCGTGCCGTGCGTGATGATGTCGACCCCCAAGTAAGGACAGGCCCTCACCACTGGCAATCCTCGCTCCTGCATCGGCCCTGTCACGGCCCTTCGCGCCCACTTGGTGCTCGCCATTACTGCACCTTTGCCCTTGCTGCCCACGGAGAACTTCAGGCCTATCCTCTCGAAGCCTCGGAAGCAGCTGTCGATTGTCTCTCCGAACTCCGTGACTATGTGCCTATGCTGCTGTCGCAGCCGCACGCGTAGGTCGTCCACGTACATCCTCCAGCGCGCCCTCGGTCTTTCCACCACCAGGCCGTCCAACGTGGACTGAATGAATGACCATCTTCAGGAAGCATGACGAGAACTTGCTGCCCGCGATAATGGTGGTAACCGTCTCGGTCTCACTGGACACCGAGTCACCTACGATGAGGCGCCTGGTCGTGGCGAAATAGGAACACACCACTGCTAGCACCCCTGTGTTGAAGTTGAGCTGCTTACCCGCTTCCCACAACACGTGCAGGCTGACCTTCTCGAAAGCCTTTACCAGGTCCAGAACCGCCGTGACCGTCGCCTGCGTTTCCTCGCTCTGCTCCTCCACATCGTCCATCTCATGGCTGAGCAACACCTCCCAGGCCGCGTCCTCCGCCGCCTTGCCGTAGCTCGTGCAGCCCCAGCTCCGGTAGTTCTTCTTGGCCCACTCG